CGCCCGCCACACCCAGTACGGCGCTTCGTGGCCCCATAGGGAGCTCCACCGAAGGCCCCATGTGGGGGTGCCCGCATGCGTCCGCCACACCCAGTACAGCCCTTCGTGACCCCATGGGGAGCTCCACCGAAGGCCCCCGTCGGTGTGCCCGCATGCGTCCGCCACACCCAGTACAGCGCTTCGTGGCCCACTTCAGGGAGCTTCACCGAATGTCCCAATGGGGGGGCCCGCATGCGCCCCCCACACCCAGTACAGCGCTTCGGGGCCCCATAGGGAGCTCCACCGAAATCCTAAGTGGGGGTTCCCGCATGCGCCCGCCGCACCCAGCACAGCGCTTCGTGCCCCCCTTGACGGAGCTCCACCGAAGGTCCCAATGGGGGTGCCCGCATGCGTCCGCCAAACCCAGTACGACATTTCGTGGCCCCACAGGGAACCCCACTGACTGTCCCAGTGGGGCCGCCCGCATGCGTCCGCCACACCCAGCACAGCGAGCGTTTCGTGGCCTCATGGGGGGCTCAACCAGGCCCCAGGTGGACCGCCCGCATGCGTCCGCCACACCCACTACAGCGCGTCGTGGCCCAATGGGGAGATCCAGCGAAGGTCCCAGTGGAACGCCCGCATGCGTCCGTCCCCCCCCGCCCCACCCAATACAGCGCTTTGCAGCCCCATAGGGAGCTCCACCGAAGGCCCCAGTGGCACCGCTGCGCCCCCCCTATCCATTACAGCGCTTCGTGGCACCACATGGGGCTCCACCGAAGGCCCCCGTGGTACCGCCCACACGCGTCTCCACAACCAACTACAGCGCGCCGTGGCCACATAGGGGGGCTCCACCGAAAACCCCAGTGGGACCGCCGGCACGCGTCCCCCCCATCCATTACGGTACGCCACATCACGCGTTGCGTGGCCCACGGGAAGCGGCACCCACAACACGCTAACCACAATTACCACGATCACGGATACGACAATTATGATGATTATTACGAGTACGACTACTACCATTACTAACTTCTACTACTACTACTACTACTACTACTATTATTACTACTACTACTACTACTACTACTACTACTACTACTACTACTACTACTACTACCACTACCACTACTACTACTACTACTACTACTACTACTACTACTACTACTACTACTACGATTTTCATTACTACTACTACTACTACGACGACGACTACTACCACTACTACTACTACTACTACTACTACTACTACCACCACTCCACTACTACTACTACTACTACTACTACTACGACGGCGACTACTACTACTACTACTACTACTACTACTACTACTATTGCTGTTACTACTACTACTACTACTACTACTACTACTACCACGACTACGATTTCTACTCGTACTACGCCTACTACTACGATTACTTTGAGTAGTAGTAGTAGTAGTACTACTACTACTACTACCACCGCTGCTACCATTCCTACCAGTACGACCACTACTTCCACTAACGCTACCGCTACTTTTGCTACCACCACTGCGACTACTAGACTTCATACCACTACTGTTGCTACTACTACTCCTACTACTACTACTACTAATACTACTACTACTACTACTACTACTACTACTATTTGTATGGCGACTACTACTTCTACTACTACTACTACTACTATTGTTACTACTACTACTACTACTACTACTACTCTTACTACTACTACTACTACTACTACTACTACTACTACTATTACTACTACTACTTCTACTACTACTACTACTACTACGTCTATTACTACAACTACGACTACTACTACCGCGACTACGTTCACTACTGCTGCTACCATTCCTACGACGGCTACTGCTACTACTACTACTACCTCTACTACTACTACTACTACTACTACTACTACTACTACTACTACTACTACTACTACTACTACTACTACTACTAACTACTATACTACTACTACTACTAACTACTAACTACTACTACTACTAACTACTAACTACTACTACTACTACTACTACTACTACTACTACTACTACTACTACTACTACTACTACTACTACTACTACTACTACTACTATACTACTACTATATTACTACTATACTACTACTACTACTAATACTACTACTTACTACTACTACTACTACTACGACTACTACTACTACTACTACTACTACTCTACTACTACTACTACTACTACTACTACACTACTACTACCACTACGACTACGACGAGTCTTTCTTCGACTGTTGCTACTACTACATCTACTACTAATTACTGCCTGCTACTTCTACTACTACTACTACTACTACTACTACTACTCCTACTACTACTACTACTACTACTACTACTACTACTACTACTACTACTTTTACCAGTACTACTATGCTAAAACGACCACTATTACTACCACTTCTACGGCGACTACTAGGACTACTACTAGGACTATCGCTATTACCAGTCCGACTACTAGTACCACTACAACTGCCACTGTCACCACGACCACCTTGTCTTACTACTACGACTACTACTACTACCACCACCACCACCGCTACTTCGACAATTGCTACTCGTGCTACTACTACGACTACTACTACTACTACTACTACTACTACTTTCACTATGACTTCGACTACTACTAGTAAGACTAGGACTACTACTACTACTACTGCTACTACTACTACTAAGATGCTAGTACTATTTCTACTACCCCCTACTTCTGCCACCACGACCACGATCACTATTGCGGCCGTCGTTGCCACTACTTTACTGTTACTGCTACTGCTATTTACGAATACTGCGGCTACTACTACTACTGCTACTACTACTTCTACGACTAACACTACGACCATTTACTTCTATTCAACTATTTCTATTACTACTACTACTACTACTACTAGCACTACTACGACGACTATTCCGATTACTACTACAACCAGACTACTATTACGATTGCCGTTGTCACTGTTAGTATCATTGTTGCTACGACTATTAATACTACTGGTAGGACTACGATGTGTACTACTACTACTACTACTACTACTACTACTACTACTACTACTATTACTAGTTAGAGTACTACTACGACTTCGACGACGACCACGACTACTACTGCTACTACTACTACTACTACCAGCACTACTATTATCATTACTACGACTACTGCTACTACTACGATGACTACTACTACTACTTACTACTACTGCACTACTACTCCGACTACGACTACTACTACTACTACTACTTACTTCTACTACTACTATACTACTACTTACTACTAACTACTCGACTACTACTACTACTACTACTACTACTACTACTACTACAGCTACTACTACTTACTACTACTATACTATTACTACTACTTACTGCTACTACTACTTCTACTTCTCTACTTACTACTAATACTATTTTTTTCTACTACTACTACTACTTACTACTACTACTAGTTGTTTGACTACTACTAGTTCGACGACGACGACGACGACGACGACGACGACTATTACTACTACTACTACTACTACTACCTCCTACCTCCTACCTCCTACTACCTACTACCTACTACCTACTACCTACGACCTACTACCTACTACCTACTACTACTACTACTACTACTACTACTACTACTACTACTACGACTACTATTACTAATACTACTACTACTACTACTACTACTACTACTACTACTACTACTCCTACTACTACTACTACTACTACTACTACTACTACTGATACTACTACTACTACGACTACTACTACTACTACTACTACTACTACTACTACTACTACTACAAATACCTCTGCACGGCATTTTCCTGGGACTACGTTGTCCTTCTCAGTCTACTTCCCCTTCCCTCCTCGGCGTTTTCCTTCCGGGGGCCAGGGGGGGGCAATGATCTCCAGCGGATTGCGTTACTTTTCTGTTCAAGCTTTGCGTTTTGTCCCTTCCATTCGGTATCCTGGTGCTTGCTTCGGACCCCGCGACAGTCCAAATTCGGGGGCATCGAGTGTGGGGGATGGGCATAAAAGGGGGGGACGCATCGACCCCCAATCGCCCACGGATCGCCGATGGGGGCCCGATGGCCGCGACCTGCCCAGGAGCGCGCGAATCTGCTATATCGGGAGCCCGCCGCCGACCTATCAGCGATGGGCCCCCAATAGCGAATCGGGTCCATCGCGCATCGCCGACTCCTCGTCCTCCTCCCCCTCCTCCTCCCCCTCGTCCTTCTCCTCCTCCTCCTCCTCCTCCTCCTCGTCCTCCTCCTCACAGGACGGGAGCTCCCGGAGCCGCCCCCTCCTCCGATGCCAGCCCCCCCCCAGTCGTTGCCCCTCACAGATGGAACACCCCGAGACTTCGTTGCCTCGATGCGCCCGTTCTGCAACGCAAAACGTGCCGTGTTCAAGACGTCCGTGTCAACACGTTGCGTGTCGGCTCCACGTAGTGGACCACGTTTTGGCGAGTGTATCGCATCGGGCCTACGTCTTCGGCCTGCGTGTCGAGCTCCGTATCGATAGGATACGTGTTGCGTGTTGCGTATCGGGGCAGCTCAGCCCCGAGAAAGGGGACGGATCCAGGACGGGGTGGACCCCCCGCGCGCGCCGTGGCCAACACCACGGCGCGAGGCCTCTCCTGGGCCTCGGCCTCCCGAGGCCCTCACCGGGCCTCGTGCTTGGGCAGGGCTCGGGCGGAGCAGTGCTTCTTGGCGGTGTCGTGGACTGCTTTGAGTTTGCTGATCGCTTCGCAGCAGAGGCAGAACGAAGACAGAGGCCACATGTGAACCCTACCCCTACCCCCCTCGAGTTCTGAAGGGGAGGGTGGGGTTCACTTCGTTCGGGAGCTCCCGAGCGAAGTGAACCCCACTCTCCCCCTCAGAAATCGTTGGGGGGCAGGGGTAGGGTTCAAATGTGGCACCCTAACGAAGGAAAGCGAAACCAAAACGAAAACGACAAAAACCGCTGAGCTCTTCCCTGTGCCCGGGGCCGCAGAGGTAAGCTCACGTGCGAGTGCTTTTTCCCGTCCAGAAGAGGCAAGGCGGGGCCCGGCGCCAAGTTTCTCTTCTGCATCTTCTACTCGACGACAGCCGGCGCCGACAACGTGAAGGAGCCAACTACGCGCAGAGGGGGGGGTAGGGCAGGGGGGAAGGCTTCTTGGAAGCACCCCTCCTTCTTAGAAGGCGTGGGCGTTGTCCGTAGATGTAGGGCTGCCGCCTTCAAAGAACCAGCCTTCTTCTAAGAAGCCTCGACGACTGCCAGCGCCGACAACGTGAAGGAGGGCTGGGCGTCGCGCCAGGGGGGGGCCGATAACTGGGGGGGGCAGCGAGGGCTGCAGAAAAGGGGCCCTGTAGGGCTGAAGTGGCCCCTGAGGGCCCAAAAGGGGGCCTTTGGTGTTCGAGAGGCGCACTCTCCTCCCCCCACGCATCGCTCCCCCTCATCGAGCGGCGTCCAGTCAAGGAGGGGCTGATGGCAGAGCGCGGCGGCAACCTGGAGAAGATCATCAAGAAGCATGCGGACGAGATCCTGGGCGGAGACAGCTATAAGGTCGGAGGCAAGTTTGAAGGCTACGAGTCCGATCGCCTCGGCGCGATAGTCTACAAGGTCGCCAAGGGAGGCCAAGAGGCCCCCGCGTGCTCTCCGAAGGACGCGGAGATCGCGGAGCCCTGCGCCCAGCTGCGCACAAAAACGCCCGTCGGGGCTTCGATCGCCGATCGCAGACAAGGCGTAAGTAATGATGCGGGGCTTCGAGCCGGCGTGGGGTCTGAGGTGGCCCAGCACTGGTTCTGGCGAGCAGGAAGGGGGGGGGGGGTCGGGGCTCCAGGTTCGCGGATGTTTGGTTTTGTTGTTGTTGTTGTTATTGTTGTTGTTGTTGTTGTTGTTGTTGTTGTTGTTGTTGTTGTTGTTGTTGTTGTTTTTGTTGTTGTTGTTGCTGTTGTTGAACATTATTACTTCTAAAGAATAATTATTTTTGGGGCCCCTGGTGCACGGCCCCCTCGCCGCGCCTAGGCCGCAGCCATGTTTTCATCATTTTCGTGAGGAAGTCTCCGGCAAAACGGGTTGGTCCGGATCCGGTTGTTTTGTTACGGGCGGTTTTCCCTTGCAAAAAATAAGGCAAAGTGGACATTTCTTGTTCCAACATAACCAAACTTCAAGAATCCCTTGCAAAAAATAAGGTAAAGTGGACATTCGCGCGCGCAAGACGAAATCCTTCCAAAACCTTAGTTTTCGGAGCGATAACATAACCAAACTTCAAGAATCCCTTGCAAAAGATAAGGTAAAGTGGACATTCGCGCGCGCAAGACGAAATCCTTCCAAAACCTTGGTGTTCGTAGCGATTTTAACATAAAAACATCAAAAAACCAATGGTTTTTCAAAAAAAAAGTGTCAACATTTCATCCCGCGCGCTCTTGCGGATTTGTAGGAAACCCAACACTTTTTAAACATTTCTGTCAAACGGGCTTTTGCGAGCAACTTTTTCACGTGCTTCGAACTTCTCCAACAACGGTTGCGCACCTGCCAGGGCCATCATCCCTGTCAAATAATACCATGCGGGACACATTCGTTTTTCTTCGCGCGCGCACGCCGAAATCTTCAAAAACCATTGGGTTTCTTAGGAATTTTAGCACCGCGCAACATAAAATCATACGAATCGCACCGTAGGTCCTCGCATATTGTTGGAACAGGGGGAAAAGTCGTATACTAAGCTAGCGTCCAGAAAATGTTACCACAACAAGTCACTGTACCCATGCGCCAGTGTAGAAGCCACGGTCGTCCGCAGGCCACGAAGTGAAGTGTCCGAACGTCATAGGGCGGGAAGCTGGGTGTGGGTGGTGGCGAAGAGTCGTTTGGTAATGTGGTAGAGCTTGAACCGGCCCCCCCACAAAGTTGGGGTATTGGCGGGCGTCGTATGAAAACCCTGGCACTGGTGAGAACGGAGTGTCCCCACGTGCTGGTAATTGTTGTTGTTGTTGTTGTTGTTGTTGTTGTTGTTGTTGTTGTTGTTGTTGTTGTTGAACTCTCATTCTTGAAGAATAATTATTGTTGATCCCCCCACCGGTGCACATTGATTTTTTTCGATTGAAGTGCCACCCCCGGGGCTCGCACTTTGTTTTTTCTCAAGGAAAGTCTTCCTGCTCAAACTGTGCCCCTGCCCCCCGGGTTACAACAACAACGGCTCCCGCCTGAGACTTCCTCGATTTTTACTCAGGACCCCCGCTCCCGCCTGAGACTTCCGCGCAATTTACTCAGGAAAGGCGCTCCCGTTTGAGACTTCCTCGCAATGTAATGAAGACCCCCGCTCCCGCCTTAGACTTCCGTGCAATTTACGTGGGAACGGCGCTCCCGCCTGAGACTTCTTCGAATTTTATTCAGGACCCCCGCTCCTGCTTGACATTTCCGCGCAATTGACTCAGGAACGGCGCTCCCGCCTGAGACTTCCTCGCAATTAGTGAGGACCCCCGCTCCCGCCTGAGACTTCCGTGCAATTTGCTCAGGAACGGCGCTCCCGCTTGAGACTTCCTCGCAACTTAGTCAGGGCCCCCGCTCCCGCCCGAGATTTCCTCACAATGTACTCAGGACTGCGCTCTCGCGTGCGACGTCCTCACCAATTATTCTGGAATTGCGTTTCGGCGCTCAGGAACCACGCGCGCGCCAAGGACGCCTTCACAACGTGGTATCTTCCCTCTTCCTTCGTCCTTCCCCCTCCCCTTCCTCCCACTCTCCCTCGTTCTTCCCCTCCTCCTCTTGCAGGGCCCGCGCCAATTCAATGGCGGGCAGAGAGATGTACGCCCCCGAAGGATTGTCCGCCCGTTCCGGTTTGCCCGTACGTCTAAGCCCGCCGGCCCCAGCAAAGAGAAATAACCCCCCCGAAAGGGGTGTGATCGAAGACAAAGAGGGCGGGTTTCGAGGGTGTAGGGTATACGTGTTGAATGACTCGCGGGCAAGTAAGAGCGTACATCCTTAAAAGGGTTGTTGTTGTTGCTGCTGTTGTT